CCCAGTTCTCTGTGGCTGAGGTCTGGAAATGGGCTCGGTTTTTCACTTTGAATCAGGGAAAGAAGGCTGAGTGCAGCGTGGATTTGGGGTTGGCTCTGACACAAATCCATCTCACTCATTAATGTAAGAAAAATGACGCTGTTCTGCAGAGCATCTCTTGAGATGTGCAAATTAATAGTATTTTTGCAAACATCTTTGCTGTTCTGCAGAGCATCTCTTGAGATTAATTAATTAAATTAATAGTATTTTTGCAAACATCTTTATAAAAGTTTGATTTATATTGTTCTGCCTGGGTGTATGTTAAGCTTTTGTTCTTCTCAATTGTGCCTTTTCCCTAGAAAAAGGTACAGGGGTTTTTTTTTGCCTTTTCCCTAGAACAGTGCATTTGTAGTATTTGCCTGTCTGTGGTCAGTTTCTTCATTCTGTCACCCCTAAACTTTGGAATCTATTTGCCAGTTTTGAGGAAGAAAATCTCAAAGATAATTAAATTTCTAAAAAAAAAAAATTAATGCCACCATTAAGGAAAACTCAAGCAGATCTCAGCTGCTCTGCAGCCCACTGGTAGCAGCTGGTCAGTGAGCATCTCCTGGCCATATAGACATAGTCCTGCACAGCCTCAGCATGCAGTTTGACTGCCCTGTGGGAGAGTGCAGGGATTATTACGGTTATCCAGCAATGGGGAATAACAGGGTTATTGCAGTTATCGAATCCAGCAGAATGGCTGGGCTTCCCATTCCGCTTTACACGTCAGCGGGAGACAAAATAGCTGGAGGAGCTGAACTGTTGTGTTTAATTTGGGTTTGAGCCCGGCTGTGACCGGAGGGCTTCACAGTGAGCCATTAGGAGGTGGGAACGATGAGCATTAACCCAAACCTTCCCATGTTCAGCTTCTGACGCTGCTGAAATGCACTGGGAGGTACATTGAGTAAATTCCCTTGGAGCAGCATCTCCACTTGGCTTTGAGCATCTCAGCCTCCTTTGGAAATTGGTCTTATTTATATGATATATCTCCATTTGGGCATCCAAATTAATTAGTCACTTTGGTAATCTTGATGGCCTTACCTGTTTTTACCTGTCTGGCACACAGTGCACACTGTCTGTATTGATCGCCATGACAACCGAGTGCCCTTTTGTTTCACAGTTCCATATTTCCATGAATTTCCATGGTGAGGGGCAGGCCAGTATTGAACCCCAGTAACAACAGTGTGACAGACCAGGAATAGGACAGGATGATCTGATCAAATATGCGCCACTTTTATGAACATGCATTTTATGCATTGTAATTCTCCAAGACATTTACAAGTTCTTCGATCTGTCCACATGTTTTTTTCCTTGAAAGCTCTTATTATATGGTCTTTGCAAACAGAAGAGGATCATGGAGCAATGGCTTTCACAGTACTGGTGCAAAAAGAGGAAATGGACAAGGGATGCATGTCAAAGAAGTGTTTGAAACTTTACTGAGTAACTTGGCAAGAGAACAGACAGGGATGCATTTCAAAGAAGTGTTTGAAAAGGCCCCAACTTTACTGAGTAACTTGGCAAGAGAAGAGCACAGGAGAACTCCTGCATGTCTCAGCCTTGAGCTGGCTTCTCCATCTCTGGCTCCTGCTGCCTGTGTTGGGACTTAGCTGTGGGGCTGGTTGCACACCTGGGCACTGCAAAGGGGATGTAGCAGCTGCCTAAACTTTGTGGCCTTAAGTAGGGTCCCTGTTTAGTGCTGGGCTGGATGCAGAGTTGGACCGAGTTATTTCTCAGTCTCTCAGTGCGCAGGGGAAGGAAAGGTGAACAGGATTAGGATCGATGTGGAAAATCTCGAATTACCCTTCTGTGCCCGCCTGCTAGCTAAACCAAATAGTTCAGTTCTCAGGGCTGACAATCAGTTACCCTTTACTTAACCTTTGCCAGCTCAATAATTAGCATCAGCCCCGTTCTCCCTCCTTCACAAAATAAATACATTAAAGGCTGGAAAAACAGCTACCTGTCTCATGAAACAGGTTCTGTGTGGCATGGCAGGGCCTTTCGCAATCCCTTCTGCAAGGGAAATGAATTCTGTCACCAAATCTCCACCAAACCAAAACACATTATTGAGTTCAAGGCTTGCCACGAGGCAGGAGTGTGGTTCTTTATTCCTTGAGAAGCGCCGTACATAATACTGGATATGCATTTCAGCACTGGCTAGGCCTGGTTATGCATTTCAGAGCCAGCCTGTAAACAGCAAAGACCTACAGACATAGCCATTTTCCATGAGGAAGCTGATGGGAGAGTGGATACAAGGATATGTTTCTGGCAGCCTTTGCTCCCTTGAAAACATGTCTCCGTAGGAAATATGGCTCCACCAAGAGACATCAATCCATAATTCTGGACTTCCATGTAATTCCTGGATTCTGTAGCTTCCTATGTATTTTCTGCTCTAATTCTGTGTGTGCACGAGTCTGTCTTTTTCAAAGAAGCTTCCTGTAATCATTCCAGGGTTTAACACTCTTTGTTGCAGGCAGAAAAAGAGAAAAGGATTTATCAAAGAAAGAGCCAAACTTTGTCAGGATCCTGACAGGGTTTACAAGAGGCAGCAGGACTTTGTCTTCCTGGGGCTGGTGGCAGAGGATGAGTGACAGCAGGTCTTGGGCCTTCTGCACCACATGAGCCTAAGGCAGAGGGAAAGCTCCTGCCTTTAGGAGGTTATTGAGTGCTTGGTCTTGGCCAGAGCTCTTCAGTGAGCTTCAAGCTGCTTCAGATCTAGCAGGCATTCCAGGGATGTCTTCTCCTGGTCCCACTGGAGTCTTATGATGCTTGTCCATGGAGTCAGTAGCTCCGAAGTCCTGCTGCCCCAAGCAGTGACCCAAGCTGGGCAATGGTTTTACCTGCAGCTGGTGCTCCAGCACGTGGGATTTTCATGGGTATTTCCCATTACAGTGTCCCCAGGAGCCTGGGAAGTGCTGCTCTGTATTCAGGGACATGTAGCCCAGAGAGGAGCTGCCTTTGGTGCCATAAGAAGTCAGGAGCGGAGCAGAGACATGAGCTCCGGTCTTGCCACTTTGGAGGTAGAGGTTTAGCTGTGGGAATGACTTTCCTCAAAAAAAGAAAAACAGGAACACAAAAGTTGCCATGCAGGTGCCTGCGTTCCTGCCTGGACAGGGCTGCATCCCACGCTGTGGTGGCCTGTCCCTGCCGCGCGGATGTGTCCGGGCTCCCCAGACCTCCCGTTGGCTGCGTGCACAGACACTGTAGCGCTGCTTGCTCAGGCTTCACACCCTCAGTGCTGCTGGAGTTACCTAATCTTCTGGCCAAGCAGTTCAGGAACGGTGCAGAAAAACCTGCTGATTTCTTGGTTTGGGAAGGGCCCGCTTCAGGAGTGCCACCCTGCCCACCCAGAAGAAAAACACAGAGCTGCACAACCCACCTTCTGAAGCTTCATTTAGAGATGGTGGCTTCAATTAAATTTAATTACTTCCCTATCGGAATCAAGGGCAGCTTCCATTACATTTGTTTGCTGTCCCCCGTGGCTTGCCCAAGAGACAGACAGTTGCAACATGAGGGTAGGCACTAATGAAGGAGAGCTTCCTAATGGATATATCTGGAGCTGCATCTGGGTCAGAGGAGTCTGATGAAAGCATCTTCCATGCTCTCTCTCTTTTTTTTTTTAACTGGGCTTCTAATGAACATGTTAAATTTCCAAACTATTATAAGCAGCTGCATCTATCAGCCACACATAAGAATATATTTACTGCATTTGAAAGCTTTCTAATGAAGCTTTGAAGTCCAGCTCACTGCAGATCGATGCAGGAGGGTAGATGTAGCTGTTGTGGCCCTCTGCCACCACCCTCTGAAGACACGAGACATGAAAGCAAATATGGACAGGTGTGAGAAGCCTTTATCTGAAAAATAAATAGATACTGAAATGCAGATACTCAAACAGATACTTCAAAACCTACATTTGACGATCATAGCCTTTGTGGATCTCTTTTATGTATTCCAGGGGTTTTCATTTATTTTACTTAGCAACACTATTCCTACATGATCCATAATTGCATCTAACTACATGGTCCTTTTCACTTTGTTGTCATCATCCAGCAAAACAGTGTTTCCTAATCATGCCCCATTCCACATTCAAAAAAACTGTACAAACCTAAATGGGGGTGAAAAGAAATTATTTTTACAAGTGACATGCGTAAAATTGAAGTTTTACCCCTGTAGATCTGCTGTAGCTGGAGGCTTAGGTTCATTGAGCTACATAGGTGCCACAGCACGAAATAACTGCAGCACTAAATATCTTCCTCTTCTGAGTGACATGGCGTCACGAAACAGTGGATATTGCCAGTTTTTATAATCATACATTCCGGCTGTCATGTTTTTCCATGGTGCGCCCACGTGTATTGGATAAATAAACTCTTCAGGCTGTGGCACTCTGCAGCATGCAGGGAGCCTGACTGCACCCTCCAAACGTGCTGCAGGGAAGCAATAAACAGCGCTAGTAAAGGAGTGCTCACACCCCGGCCCCAAATCTCCAGGCCAGTATGTTGAGTTAAAGTAGTGGTAGTGTAATCTCCATTGAATTACTGCTTCTTTTGGCTCTGCACTAAAGGTAGCAACTCAGCAGGTAGGAATGTGAGTGATGGGTAGATACCTGTCAGTGTATTTGGGTTCTCGCTTTTTGTCTTCCTTTGTTCAGTTTTTCCTTCTTTTGTTGTGAGGCTATTTTTAGTTCTTCAGGGCTCTGTCTTCTGCATTGAAAATAAAGGTGACACTCGCTTTTAATATATACCTTTAAGAAAGTACATGTGTGTGTGTGTGCGTAGACACCATCTCTGCAGTGGCTTGTGTCTAAGGTAATTATGCTTTGACCTGCTCCATTTGAATTCACTGCAAGGAAGTTATGATAGAAAGGAAGGAGAAATGGCTGTTTCCCCATGAGGGCCTTATCCTCCCCTTCCAGTGGCACTAGCCACAGTGCTGTATATGGCCTTCCATGGGTACTGACTGTGTTTTGGGTTTATCCCCTGTAGATCATCTTCCGGAAAATCAGCGATGTCAAGAAGGAAGAAGAGGAACGCCTGCGCCAGAAGAACGAGGTGACGCTGAGCATCCCTGTGGACCACCCTGTGCGGAAACTCTTCCAGAAGTTCAAGCAGCAAAAGGAGATGCGCAATCAAGGCTCAACCCACATCGACCCAGAGAGGAACCAGCTGCAGGTGGAAAGCCGCACCATGCAGAACGGGGCCTCCATCACGGGCACGAGCGTGGTCACCGTGTCTCAGATCACGCCGATCCAGACTTCCCTGGCCTACGTGAAAACCAGCGAGGCCGTGAAGCAGAACAACCGGGATGCCATGGAGCTCAAGCCAAACGGAAACGGAGACCAGAAGTGTCTCAAAGTGAACAGTCCCATGCGGGTGAAAAATGGGAACAGCAAAGGGTGGCTTCGGCTAAAGAACACCATGGGGACCCATGAGGAGAAAAAGGAAGACTGGAATAATGTCACAAAGGCTGAGTCCATGGGCTTGCTGTCCGAGGACCCCAAGTGCAATGACTCCGAGAATGGTGTAAATAAAAACCCACTGAGGAAAACGGACTCTTGTGACAGTGGAATCACAAAAAGTGACCTTCGTTTGGATAAAGCTGGTGAGACTCGCAGCCCTCTGGAGCATAGCCCCATCCAGGCTGATGCTAGGCATCCTTTCTACCCTATTCCTGAGCAGGCCTTACAGACCACCCTGCAGGAAGTCAAGCACGAACTCAAAGAAGATATCCAGCTGCTAAGCAGCAGGATGGCTGCCCTTGAGAAGCAGGTGGCAGAAATTTTAAAAATATTGTCTGAAAAGAACGTACCCCAGATCTCGTCCCCCAAGTCACATTTATCACCCCAGTTACCCTCCCAAATACCCTGTCAGGATATTTTTAGTGTTTCAAGGCCTGCATCACCCGAATCAGAAAAAGATGAAATCCACTTTTAACATATACTTATGTTTATATATGTATACAGTATATATGCAGAGGTGTATATATACCTTTATACATATATATGTGTGTGTGTATACGGTAAATATATATATACATATATATTTTCACTTGCATCCAATATGACTTGAACACACCAAGGGTTTTGATATGTAAATATTGCATGTCCAGCTGGATTCTGGCCTGCCAAAGAAAACAATTATTAACATAGATATTGCTTGTATAATATGCAGTTGACTGCATGCACACTTTACATTTATTTATAATCTCTATTATGTAATAAAAGAATGACTTTTGTTTAACAAAGGCAATGTACTATTTAAAGAATCAGGGTCTAACCTGCCAATATTGCCATGACAGATTTGATCTCAGGCCGGGTGAATTGAGCTTTTATTTCCTCACTGTCTTTTCTGCCGAGTTAAACGATAGATTAACATAATACGGAGCCCACACCCAGACTTCAGTTAGGGCTGTTTCCTGGTATCATCCCCTTGCAATATCCTGTATATTTGGTGGTAGGTCCCCCTCCTTCTCTTCCATCAAGGGAGGGCTCAACTCAGCCAGCAGGGAAGGGCCCTGTGGCAGGTGCCTGGGTAGATCACTGGAATTTAGTAGCGTGGCTATTGTGCATGCACAGCCTTTTATTTCAAGTATCTTTCTGCTCTTTTAACATCGTTAAGTAAGAAATAATAATAATGATGATTTATGTAATGAAGTGGGACAAACAAGCGCAGCTGCGCTCCCCCTGTTTGGGGGCAGTTTGTTTCTTGAAAGCCTCCTTTTATTAATGCCATTTATAGAGAACTGCTGTAGCTGAGTAACGTTACGTAGCTCCTCTTCACAGCATGCAGAGACAGTGTCTGACTCTGTCAGTATCTTCATTAGGAAACCCAGGTTTTGCAGGGCTGAGCATTGCTTTTCCCCATCGCTCCTGGCGAAAAGACTTCGCACGAGGTTTTGGCAAAGGAGATGGAAATTTCAGTTCAGTTCCTTGGGAGCCTTGTGAGCAGATGTGAAAGTCTGGACTTAACCGGTTGCAGTTAATCCCCATCTTCTCTCTCTTTTTTTTTTTTTTTGAGGACATTTGTTAATCTGGAACTGATTGTGAGAAAGAGAGAGGCCAAGTCTGGATGTGCAGTTGGTCATGTGGATGACCATAGCATCAGGATGACAGTGTTTGGGTGGGAGATGTGGGTCTGCTGGGGAAATGAAATCCCTTGTGGATGCCTCTACTGTTGCTGTTGGACTTGGAGATGGGTACAGAGGTGTGGACCAAAGTGGGAGTGTGGTGGCCCTAGCCAAGCATCAAGCACATTAAGGCTACTAGGTCTACCTTAGATGCTCTGGTCCTTCTCTTAGCCCTTCCCTTTGGCATCTCCCAGTCTTGAGCCATGCTGGGATCACACCTCCACCACGCAGCCTGGAGCAGCCCCCTCCTTGCTGTGCAGCAGAGTGGGTCCTTGCACTAGACGCTCATCTTAGGAAACTCAGTTATGAAACTCTCTGTTACGAAAACTGAGATTTTTTTTTTTTTTTTGGTTCTGCCTGAGCCCAGGCTTGAGTGTGGTGGGTTTTTGTTGCCTCTGAAGTTTATGCCAGGCGAGAGTCCAGGCACATGCATCTCCCAAACGGCCAGTGTTTCACTTCAGGGCAGTGTTGTGGCGTGAGACTGGTATGCTAGGCAGGAGCAGCTCCTTCAGCCAAGGATTTCCCCACACTTAATGACCTTTGAATCAAGACTTGATGTTTTTAAAAGTGCCTGGAGTAAATATATGTATGTGTACTACAAGGCATCTCTAGCCATCAGGTAATTAAAAGGCATGTTTATAATTAGTGAGCATCCTTACCAGATACCAATACCAGACCCACTGTTTCACATCAGGAAACCGCACTACTCTAAAGCATTTCCTGAAATAACAGGAAAAACAAACAAACAAACAAAACCAAAAAAAACACATCATTTGCAGTAGTGGCAACTAGGAAACTGCATCCCAGGGCAAATATTTCTGCTAGTGTAAAATCCAAAAACCAAACCCCCATCTCCCCCAAAAAATGATCATGAGAAAGCCAAAGAAGTCTTTGCTTTTGTTGTGTCGAGAAGGCTTTTTTATTTTTTTTTTTTCTGGAAGGCTCTCTTCTATTTTAGTGGTTGTACTTTTCCACCCCTTTTTGCTCCTCCTCCAGTCCCCTCTTTTAGGAAAACATAGACAAGGAGGATTAAAAAGGCCCATTTAGGCCAGTGACCAAGACAAGTGCCAGAGGCTGGTGGCTTTGCTGCCTGTTCCCCTGGGGCAATTCGCCTCTTCCTTCTTGCAGCCGCCCCAGCCCTGTTCTGCAGCCGCTTTTCCGACCCCTGTGCGAATCCCTAAGTGTGCAAGCACGCTTGGGCCACTGCCACAAAGCAGAAGGACAGCCAGGTCCGGCCACATCCTCACCTGCGACTCCAAAATGATCATGCACTTGGTAGGCTGAGGAGTCACAGGCTTTCTGCAGCCTGCTGGCTTTTGCACAGACCTTGCGGGTACAGCTTAAGTGCCAAGTTTTAAAGATTTAACCCCTCCTGCCTGATTTGAATTATTGTTTAAGACAGGTGCACAGCGACTGCTTTCCCGCAGCAGATGATGCACCATGTGCCTCGCGTTTTCCAGGTTGCTAACACGGAGCCCAGCAGCAGTTGTACTTTTGGCTGTGGCCTTCCGGGCTTGGCCGTACGTGAACCTGACGTTTTTTGCAGTGCAGGAAGAAAAAACAGCACGGGGATGTGCTGTACATTTGGGCGGTATGGCCGGGACGCCAAGTGAGGGCACTTTGGTTGCATCCCCCTCATCCATCCGTACGTGACCCAGCCAGCCCTCCAACACAGATGACAGGAATGGGAACCTGGTAGGGTTGGCAAGGGTCACCCTGGCTGCTTCCCACATCATCTCTTACCCTCCCGGGATAACTTCAGAGCTGTACTATTAACAGGGAGCATTTGTCTTTGTGTCCAGAACTGCCCAGTGAAAAGCTGAGTTACTCCGGCTGTCTGGGAGCTGGAGTTGGGATAAAGTGAGTTCCTTAAATGCCCAATTGCACTGCTATGGGATGCTGCAAGGCAGCCAGCAGGGCGATGGGGGTGACTTTGCTAGAAAGCCTTAATGGCATTCCTCTGCCTTTATGAAGGACTTTTCCTTTTTCTATCTATCTCTGTAATTGATATTAATTCTAGATAGAATTGCATGGCATGCAAAGGGATTTTTACTTCGATTTATCTTGCAAGTCAGGTGTAACCTTATGCCACTTGACAATGAGAGCACAAGTAACTGGATTAGTCCGACCTTGAAAACTGTTGGAGCCCAGAGTGTCTGTCGCAGTTCAAGTACAACCAGGCGTGGTTAAAATGCATACTGGCCAAAAGCTATAAATAGTGTAAAATAGCAATTCTGTGAAACAACCACAGCATTTCTGTGTTTACTTGTCCTCGCGCTGCTTCGACTCGGCTGTTCCAACATGTTGTCTCACTAGTGGAGTAGATCCAGTCTGTACCTTGCACAAGGTGATAGTGCAAGGCGGGGATTCTTGCAAGCGTTCTGCAAGGCGTCTGCAAAGGGGTATCCCAAGTCTTATGTGCTGGGACTGCAGCTGCAAGCCCCATTTGCAGGATGAACCCTGGTGGCTCCTGCTCCAAAAATTTGTCCCATTTGCTTCTTTGCCTCTAAATTTTGCCACCGGAGCATTACACAATGGTGTCCCATGGAGTTGTTCCTGGGTTGCTCACTCCGCTTCCCCGTTCCCTGGTCCTTCTGTGGCTCTGCATGATGCCATGGAGCGCACGATCGAGAGGAGGAGTCCCGTGTTTTAGCGCAGGGGTCGTGACGGTGCCGTTCAGACTTGACTGGAAGCAGCCACTGCTCCTCAGTAAGCGCAATAAGGAACCCAGTGGGTCCATTCTGCCCTTGGCCACGTGCTTTATTTCCTTTGAAGAGTGAGCTCTACACCTGTGCAAATGCTCCTGCCGCGCGCTGGCAATAGGTCATGTTCTCAGCACTTACCTCGTGCTTGATGTATTCGAAGCGTTTTAACAACACACAAGTGGATTTTATCTTTCTGGACAAAATATTAATAGGAATAAAATGTGTGCAGAAAAGTAACCTTGTTTCAAAGCAAATGAGCTACATTTTTGTGTAAAATTACAAATACAGGCTAATAGATGAAAAAAAAAAACTATCATAGTGAAAATTTAGGAGGACCTTATCCCGCAATTATCCTGTTTTTTTTTGTTTGTAAATCTCCTTTTTTTTTTTTTCCATCTTTCTGTCTTGCTAGGAGACAGAGAATAGAGTCAATGCTAGAAGTGACAGACTTAAGCTTTGCCTGTTTGCTCTTGCCTGTTCTGCAGCTGCAGGGACTCGATGCTCCCGGCATTGAAGTCTCATTTCATTGCTAGACCAAATTCAGTTCCCACTTACAACCACCTTAAAAGCAACCCTGTTTTACCGGTGTGAACTGTAAACCAGTTTGAACTTGATGAGGACCTTGGAGTATATTTTGGATTTGGATTGTTTAAGAGCAATTTTAGAGCGCGGGCAGCTGCAGGAATAACCCAGTGCTCATTGTAAGCAATGGGCAGTCACTCAAGAAGTGCCTGAGTGTTATATGGACCACACCATGAGCAAGGGGCACAAAGCAGATGATATGCCCATAAAATAGCTTGGAGATGGAGTTTTTTTGTGGGAAGGAGAGGAGGAGAGAAGTACTGAACTGAAAAAGAAGAAGAAGAAGAAGAAAAGCTAAAAGTTTAACATGCAGTTTGGGATATATTATGAGGTGACTTGGCACTTTTTTACCTAGATTTTGAGCTTTTAGAGAATCCAACCTTGTCTTTGTGAATATGTCACAATTAAAAATATGGTTTCTGAAAATAAATCTCTTTTTTGTTTTCTAAGTGAGAGGACATAAAAAATATAACTAACTTAAAAAAATGTTTTAAAGTACCTTTTTCCTACAGAAGTGAGTTTTAACAATTTATTATGGTTGTTTTTAATAAGCTGCATCTTATAAGGC